ATTAAAATAATATTAACAATATTTATTAAAACAATATTAACAGTTTATTTATTAAAATAGTTTTACTTTTCATTATCTAATTCAATATTTTTTTAAAATTAATTAAAAAATTTTTAACATCTTATATCCATGTTATTACATTAAAAATTTGAAATATATAATAAAATACAACAATTATTACTATATGTAATTTTGTTTTTATATTTATTAATTCCATTTTTATTTTTCTTTTTTTTAATGTTATAGAACTTCTTACAAACTGTGAAAGTGAATTATTGAAAAATGAAAATTTATTTAGTGATGATGCATTATTATCACAATTGGAAGAGCCTTTGGGCATGGATACGGAAGGATTGGATTTTTTAAACTTTAATAATAATAAAGAATTAAAGGATTTTAAAGAATTTCATAATTTTGAAAATCCAAATATTATAAAACCTGTATCAAATGGAAATGTAATATTAACTCCAACAGTAACAGAAAATACACAACAAATTTCTTGTGTTTCTCAACAACCTCAACAACAAAAACAACAACAACCACAATTGCAAGATATAATACCTGTACAGAATAGAGCACAGAGAATATCTGTCACACCAGCACCCACAGTATTTAGTTCACAATATGCTATTCCACAAAATATGAATTTTAGTGTCCAATCACCTGTTGTAACAATAGCACCAATGACACAACAAAGACAATTACTTCTACCAGCTAAGCTTATAAAATCAGAATCAGTTGTTTATTCTAGAGGATCACAAGCTGTTAATTCAGCTTCTGTACCACATCAAATACATACATTAGTAAATACTGCTAATGGAACAGTTTTAACTGCTGGTAAAAATTATAATTTATTGATATATTATCAGGTTTTTTATTTTTATTTAAATTCATATTTCATTTATTTATTTAGGTATTCCAGTCGTATTAGATACTGATAAAGTACAAATTAATCGTTTGAGCACAAATACACATATAAGTGTACCAAGAGTAAAAGAAGTAAAACGTAGTGCACATAATGCTATAGAACGACGTTATAGAACATCAATTAATGATAAAATTATTGAATTGAAAAATATCATTGTGGGAGTAGATGCTAAATTAATAAATCAGCAATTTTAAGAAAAACTATTGATTATATTAGGTATATTATAATATTAAATATATTATATATATTTAATTTTTTTTACATGTATATTATATTAAAAAAACATTTATTAAACAATTTTAGATTTCTAAAAATTTAATAAAATTCTAGATTTCTCCAAAATTCTAATGCAAGATTAAAACAAGAAAATATGTCATTAAAATTAGCTCAAAGACAAAATTTACGTGATTTATTAGTTTGCGGTGAACTTACACCACCTAGATCAGATTCAAGTGAACCATCTTTATCTCCAGCACCAGCACCATTATCTCCCCCATCTCCATCTTCTATAAAAGATGATCCAGATGTATTACAAAATGTTGATGCAACATCTGTTCTCAATCAAAGCATGAGAGATCATACCAGGCTTACACTCTGTGGATTTATGCTTCTTTTTTTAGCATTTAATCCTTTAGGTTTTGTAATAAATAACATTGGAAGATTTAATTCTGATTATATAAATACAAAATTGGATGGTCGTACCATTCTTAATTATCAAGGTATAAATATTGTAATAATAATAATAATAATAGTAATAATAATAATTATTAATCTTTTTTAGATCAATCAGATTTTGAAAATCCAGTATGGAGTAATTTATTATTATGGCTAACAAATACTATACTTTTGATTGGCGGACTTTGTAGATTATTATTATATGGTGATCCAGTATTACCTTCTGATAGTAAAATATTTCTTGAACTTCATAGATGGAGACGCCAAGCAGAATTTAATATATCAAAAAACGAATATAGTCAAGCATATCGAGATTTACATCAATGTTTACAATACTTAGGTCGTCCATATCCGTCATCTCGTACAGAAGCTTGGCTTGCAACTATGTGGCAAATTATAAGGCAACTTCTTCATAAATTATGGATTGGGAAATGGATTTTACATATTCATAAATGGTTTTCAGAAAAAACCATACGACAACAGGCAGAAATATCAGCTATGGAGATAGCTATTATTTATCAGCATATGCTATGCTTACATTTATCAGAAGGATCAAAAAATGGAACTTTATATCTCGCTCTTTCTGCAGTGAATTATGCAGAAACAATTGGTGAAACTATTCCAAAATCATTATTGGCAGAAATATATACTAATGTTGCGTTATGTTTCAAACAATCACTTTTTCCATTTATTCATAAATATTATTTAGGCAAAGCACGTACATTATTATCATCGTGTACAGTTCCATCAAAATTAAAATGGATAATGAGCGATGAAGGTGCAAAATTTTTAGCATTTCAAAAATGGCAATATGGAGAACAACCAGATAATGAATTTACATCTCAAACTAGTAAAGCTGATCCTCTATCATATGCTTCACGTGCATATAGAAATTATTTAATTGGACAATGTTTACGTATTTTAACTGGCACTGTTGGAGATACTCATTTATCTTCAATATTAGAATATGGACAAACTATTATGGCTTCTGCTGGAGTATATACTGGATTTTTGTGTACTGACAAAGTTACAATTACACGTAAGAATTAGTAAAATTAAATATAATAAAATTTTTTTTAATGAGTTTATATTGAATATATATAATTAAATCTATATATATTATTTTTTTTTTTTTTTAATTGAACGAACAATTTTGTCAATTAATATTTTAGATTGTGAAGATGAAATTGGATTATGGTGGGGGGCAGTTATGTATGTAGCAGCATGTTGGAGATTAAAGGAAGATGATTCTCAAGCATGGAGCATCGTTGAAAGCAAATTTCCTTATGAAAAAAATTATCAACTTTGCAATAATAATAATAGTGTTAGTCCACTACCATATATTGTTTTCAATACTTTGCAAGCTGCAAAAGCTACTATTAAATCAACTTCTATGCATTTTATTGATCAAGCAGGAATATTACTTGAACAATGCTTGGTTTATTACAATTGCAAACAACAGTCTTCACAAAATGTTTTGGTAAGATATTTAGATATTATATCCATTAGATATAATATCAATATTCAATATCACTATTCAACTCTTATTAAATACAATTAAATATAATAATTAAAAAATTAAAAATTATGAATTAACATAATTTGAATATAAAAGTAAAAATATTTAATTTTAAGTTTATAATTTTATTCTTTAAGTTAGTTTTTATAATTATATTTTTTTTAAAATAAATATTTCATTTTTATAAAAAATAAAAAATATTTTTAATAAATAAATAATAAATCATATAAATCAACAATTGATATGAAGTACACTAATTCATATAAAATTATCTAATATCATTATTAAAATATTTAGTAATAATAGTTTGTATGTAATATTTATTTAATTACTTACCTGTTACAACTGTGCATTGTAGTTGCATTGCATGAAATATAACTATGCAATACTTCTACAGTGCAACTCTTGTGGCAGATTTCAACACCATATAGTAATAAATATATGATAGTAAATAAAATTTATATATTTTTTTTAAGTTAACGTTAATAATTTTTTTATTGGTTTTGATTTTTTTAGCTTACTCAATTGTGGATTTGTGACTGGTTACTTGAAATGAGAACTACACTTTGGCAAGAATTAGATAGTGATTTAGAAAAATTAACTACAAATATATCTCTTAGAGGTTTTCAACGGGATTTAGCTTGTTTAAGACAATTATGTCAACATATTCCAGTAAGTTTTTTTTTTTCTTTTTATTAAAAATATTCATCATCTTTAATCAATGTTGTTTATTTTTTAGTCTACCTTAGCAAGAGTATTTCTTTATGAAGCTACAGTACGTATAATGGCAGGAGCAACACCAGTAAAAACTCAAATATTATTAGATCGTAGCTTGCATCATAGAAATTCACGTTCTTCAATTATTTGTGGTAAAGATCGTTCACAAGATCAATATACTGGAGAAAAAGAACACGCAGTAGCTTTATGTTTAGCATGTCGACATTTACCTTCACTATTACTAGCCACTCCTGGAGAACGTGCAGGTATGCTTGCAGAAGCTGCAAAAACTTTGGAAAGAGTAGGTGATAGAAAAAGACTTCAAGAATGTTATAAATTAATGAGACAACTCGGATCAGCTATTTCTGCTAATTGATATATTAATAAAAATACTTTTTTATCTGAATTTGTTTTATTCCATATAAGCAATAAAAATTTAAAAAGAAATTGCAGATTTAACATGATTTCATTTTCTTATTATTTCATTAAAACAAATAAGATGGTTAACAAAAAATCTTCTACAAAAATGCAAATGTAATTAGTTGATTTTAATGAATTTTAATACGTGTTAAAAATAGGCATATTAATCGAAAATATTATTTATAAATATCTATAAATAAAGTCATATAGCATTGTATATTGTTGAATAAAAAAAAGAAGTAATCTTCTTATTCCTATTCATCCCACAAAATTTTTCGTTATTTGCGATCATAATACATATATAATACATATTATACAGCATATCAGATAAAGAGAAATTTTAAGAACTTAAATTGAATGGACATTAATTTAATTTTTTTTATTAATAATATATTTTATATCTTTTTATTAATAATTGTGATTGAAAATAATTTGTTTTAATATGTTACTTAACATAATTTATATAATCATATCTTATTTAATTCATTTATCATTACTACATATTTATATGTCTAACATAATGGTATTGAAATTTATAAATTATATTTTTAATATATTTCAAAATAAAAATCTTCAATTTTTTTATTATTTTAAGATTGTATATTGATTTTTTTCTATGAAATAGCTAAAAAAATTTTTTTATAATGTATTCTTTTATATATTTTTTTATAATGTAATCTTTTATAGTTAATAACATTTTGAAAATTTGAAGATAAAAACATTATAATGGCACTGAACTTTAAACTTAATATTTTAAATCCATTATAACTTAAAAATTATACAATTTAATTTTTTTAATATTTATTAATTAAATATATAAACTGTTTTTAAATATAAAATATAAATTATATAATATATATAATTTATATATATTATATAATTTTAAAAAAATAAATGAAATAAATTTTTTTTCTATTTCATGTTTCCTTATTTTTTATTTTGTTTATTTGTTCTGCTTATATTATTATATATTTTTATTATTATTATTTTCTTATTAGAATATAAATAAATAATATTTAATTATATTTTATTTAAAACATAATAAAATTTACATATTATAAATATGTTATGAATATAAAGATAGTTTATATATGATTATTCTGCCAAAAAAAATCTGTACTTTCATTAAATATAAATTTAAATGTTTTTGCTTTGATTGAATTTTTCAAATTAAACATTTGAATTGTATTTTTATCCTCTGGATAAAATGATTCATAAAATTTAGTTTCTTTATCACCAACTTCTAAATGACAATCTTTGCCAACAAATCCACCTTGAAATTCAATTTCAAATGAACTTACTTCACATTCTTGTTCAAAATGAATAATTATCCACTGTGGAGTTCCCTGTAATATATATGTATACGTAATAATAATAAATATATTTTTATTAATTAATATTATGTGTCAAAAATAAAAAAAAGATTTTCTTACCGAATTGGAATTCCAACATGTTTCAGGACAATTATCAAACATATAATTTTTCCCATAAGATTGATTATTTTTATTTAAAACTGAACTAACTCTAAACACATAATAAACACATATAAACTAAATAATTACATTAAATAATATAAATACTATTACATAAAATAATATATAGATATATAAATAATATTAATATTAAATAATATAATAAATAATATTAATTCTTAATCATTCTTATGTAATTTTAAAATATTTCAAATACTATAAATATATCAATTTTATTTTTAATAATTAAATAATATAATTATTTATATAAATATTTATATATATTATATTATTAAATAATTATATATATTTAATAATATTTTCAATATTAAATGTTCAATTGTTGTTAATTATATCTTATAAGTATCGAAGTTTAATTTTTACTACTAGAATTTCATAAAAAAATTATATTTCCATAATTGTAATGCAAATTATATATATTTATATTTATTTTAAATAATATTTTAAATAACTTACCGACATTCAAATTTATATTGTTGTAATAAAGAAGTCATAATAAGACAAAAAATGTTTGACATATAATTTAACCTCGTATTAAAATTATACTAATCACATTGTTACGTATCGTTATGTTATCGTCGTGCAATAAAAATTATTTTCTTAAATTTTCAATAATATTTCTTTATATTAAATATTATACAATAAAATTATAGATAGATTAAAAGTTAATTAATTAACTAATTAATATTATTAAGTAATTAATAATAATACATAATAATTTAATTGTATAAAATAAATATCTTAAAAACTATTTTAAATAGTAGTAATGTTTTTAATATTTATAAAGATGTTTTTTAAATATTTGTGCTGAAAATTAATTAATTCTTTTATTTATATTATAATAATTTTATATAAAATTGTTTATTTCAATAATATTTTGATAATGAATTTTGATATTGAATTTTTACAATTTATTAAAGATGAACTGAGATATCATAAATAAATTGATGAATATTGATTATGAAATAAAATGATAAAATATGTATATATAATATAAATAAAATATGAATACTTATATGAATACAAATTAATTTTTTTTTCACATTATTAATTTCATACTAATGGAATAAATGATGTTTTATATAAAAAATTAAATAATGTAAAGTTGGTTATTAAATTATTTCATGATATATAATTATTATTTTATCATTATAATTTTTCACAGGTATGGAATGCATTACATTTCAACCTAGTATGAAAATTAACAAATTCCTAATTATATATATTTGCATGATTTGCAAATGTATATTATACCTCCATCTGGATATATTAAATTAGAAGAATTATATCAATGGTGTATTGATAGATTAAAGGGTAATTATTGTAATACTTTTTAATAAATAATTAATATTTATATTTAGAAATAAAATCAAATTTTGTTTTGTAGTTTTAGAATTAGTAAACAAAATATCAAAACAATATTATGAAGTGAGGCAATGTCGTATTGCTTTAATTAAAGAATTGGAAAAAAATGATTTAATTAAGTTTGCAAAACTTATAAATATGTCTAATTATGAAATTTCACAAAGTAAAAAACAGCTTCTAAGAAAAAATGATTCTATATCACATTTTATTTTGAGATCAGCATTTTCTTTAGAACATAAGAAAAGGCAATGGTTTTTTAAACAAGAAGTAAAATTATTTAAATGGAGACTTTCTTTTTTGAATAAAAAAGATATAAAACTCTTTAATTATATTAATGGAATTCAATTTCCTTCTGTTAGTATAAAATATAATAATTATATGTAATTGATTATATAATATTCTATTATAATTTTTATTATAATTAGAATATATTTTTTATTTACAATTGCTAATATATTTATTTAGGTTTCTGAACAGGAAAAACAAAAAATTAAAAAAGACTTAGAAATGTTTTGTTTTGTCAATGAAAATATTAATATTATAAATTTTTATAAAGTATATTTTACTAATGTAACAAATCTGGTTGCAAAACGACAAGTATTTTTGAAAAATGGAATTGCTTACGTACCAGAAACAAAAGTTTATTGGATAATTTTTTCTGAATTTAAAAAAAGATTAAATGAAGGTTTTGCTGTAAATATATAAGAATTTATATTTAAATATACTTAAAAAATATATATTATTTTTGAGATATTATATATTTTTTTTTTTTAGTATTCAAGGACAACAGTATCAAATATTTATGGTGATGAAAGAATAACAAAAATATTTAATATACTTCAAAATTATATTAATAAACCATATCTTGAACATAACAGATATAAATATATATCTATTGATGAGTTAGATGAGGTATGTTTAATTATAAATATTATTTTTAAAATATTTATAGTTATTCTATTTTAAAATATTAACAACTTAAGTTTATTATTAAAATAAAATTAATAAAAAATAAGAAAATGATTTTATTAATTAATCATTTTATCATATATCAATTTTATTTTAATATTTTTTTTAAGCTATCACAAAAATCATTTCCATTATGCATGAGATTACTTCATGAAGCATTACAAAAAAAATCATCATCTCACAAATGGTGGTAGAGTTCAATATGGCTTGTTTCTTAAAGGAATAGGTCTTAAATTACATGATGCAATACAATTTTGGAAAGATGAATTTACAAAAAAAATTGATGAAAGAACTTTTGAAAAACAATATAAATATGGCATACGATTTTTATATGGACAGGAAGGAAAACGTGCAGATTATGAACCGTTTCATTGTTTTAAGATATTTAATTCTAATGTTGGTTTACGAGATAATCATGGTTGTCCATTTAAATGTATGACATTTGATCTACTGAAACAAACACTTTCAAATTATGGATTAATTCATTTAGGTAAATAATAATATATTATATTATATTAAAAAGTAAAACTTATAGAAATATGAAAAAATGATTTTAAAATTTAGAATTAAATATTTAATAATAATATATTTATTAAATATAATATTATTATTATTATAAATATAATATATTCAATTCTTTCATATTGAATTAATGTATCATGTATTTAACAAATTATTATTAAATGTAATTAATTCTAATATTATAATTTTTATAAATTTGTATAATAGAATTTTAATATATGCATCAAAAAGATGAAATCAATTCTTTCAAGTTATAGAAAATAATTTATTAATATATTTTATTTATTTTTAAAAAATTAAATTTCTTTTAGATATAGAATCAATAATTCAACATGTAAAAAAAAAATCTTATCTTGAAGCATGCAAAACTTATTATGAAATTATACACAATTGTATTATAGATAATACCTTTAAGCATCCAAATATATATTTTAATTCTAGTTATAAACATTTTGAAAATGTATTTTCAGGTAAATTTCTTCTTAAAATTTTATTACTATAATATTTTGTATATATTATATAATTATAATAGTTAGTAATGATTCAAAAAAAAAATGAACAGTAAAGAAATTAGTTATTTTTTTTTATAATATAATTATACATATGAATATTCAATATTCATTATTGTTTAATTAATTTTTTTAGATATGGAAGATTAAAAAATATAATTTTAACAAGTTTCAAAATTAAAATCTTTTCATAAGATATAACAATGGAAAATATTTTTAATTATTTTTATTTATTTATTACTTTAACAAATACTTATAAAAAATTAATAATTATTTTATAATTTAAATCTGAAAATGCAGTTGGAAAGTATTATTTTTGTAATAATATTGATGGTTATATTGAATATAATTTTTTATTCTTATCTTATTTTTATTATTTATTTAATTTCAATTTACTATTCTAAATCATTTTACATTAATAAATTAAAATGCATATTCTTATTTATTAATTTATTTACATTAAATATTCCTAAATGCATTTGAAAATATTCATAAATTATTTTTATAAATTCAATATTTTTATTTATATTTTTCCATAACTTCTTCTATGATTTTATTAAGTTTTTGATTTTGCCAATTAAGAGAAATATCATCAAGATGATTATCAAAATCTATAAGATTTCTATATTCTTCTGCTTTAAGTAAGGAATATAATACATCTGTATGTGTAACTCCTTTATCATATAATATACTGCAAAAATCAATGCAATTTGTCAATATGAACAATAAGCATATTAAAAAATGAGCAATAAGCATTTAAAAAATAAATGATATATTAAATTAATTACTCTGTTATATCTTTAAGTTTCCATTTGCCATCTATAAATTGTGACACTCTCAAAGGATTTGAATTCATAGCAAGTGTAATTTCTTTATTATCCACCTAATAATGTGAAAATAATATAAAAATTTTGATCTGATATTTTGATTTAATTTATTAAAACACTTACCACAACAAGTAAAGTATTACCATAATTCTCTGCTATTTTATCCGCTATTTTATGAGCAGGTTTATCTGTACTACATTTTTAAATTTTTATAATTAAGATCAATAATAAAAAATTGTCAAAAATTCTAAATAAAGAATAAAATACCTTAAATCATTTATGTTTTCATTTGCTAGATAATAACCTGCTAGTACTAAACCTTTACTAATAGCATATTGATCAACCTGAAAATATTTTTAATTATTTAAATATGTTTATATTAGAAAATTTAAATAACTATATAATTTCATAATTAAAATTTCCAATAATTCAATAATTTCTTACAATTACGTAAGAAAATGATGTTATAGATTGGTATAAATAAAAATGTTTTTATAAATTCATATATTTAGTATATTTTTATAGGTTAAAAATTACAAATAAAAAAGGAAAGAGTTTTAAATACTTTCTGTAATAAAATCATATTATTTAATATGTAAAATATAACTTATAAATTATATTTGTATGACTTATTACTATAAAAAATGATATTAATAAAATTTTACAAAATTTATTAAGTTTCTGAATTCATTACATATCAAATATTTACCATGGTTAAAGCAATTTCTGCCATAGGCGAAACATGAAGACAAATATGAAAAAGTGGAATTACATCTTCAATATGTAATTCAATGAATTTACCATCATTTTTATTACTTTGTTTGGCTAATAATAAACCATTTATTGCACAGTGTGGATACTTAGCTGCATGTAAAATAATCTTACAATATGCACGACTAGAAAATGAAATATCTGCCATTTTTTTTATAATAAATACTACTATAATCTACTTCAAGTATATATACTATATAAGTTTAGCCTACTTTAAGAATTTAGATACAAGATCTGATCATTGATTACATTTAACATGTGATGATTCATTTATCAAGTTGGTAATAAGCATAGAAATATTTTTTAAAGTTACGTATTGTATACTTTTGTTTATATCTTGTTTTTATCTTTTAAAAATAATTTAAAATGGATAGTATTGAAAAAGTTATCAATCTTTTACACGAAAGGAGAACTATTCGTGAAGAACAATTCGCAATTGAAGAAAAGAAGCAAATTACTGAATACAGTAATTTGATAAATACATTACAAACTATAAAAGGTTTTTATTTTTGCATTAAAAAAAATTATTATTAATTTCATAAAATTAAAATTTAATCATATATTTATTATACAGATGAACGGAATAATTATAAAGAAAGTATTATTAAAAAATCTTCAAAGTTTAACAATGCATAAACATTCAATATATAAATTAATTTGTAATGCAGAGAATATATCAGGATTACCAGTTTCTCATGATTATCATCGGTATTAATAATTTAAAAATATTTTTTAATATTATTAATAATAATATTAAAATAATATTAATATTAATAATAATATTAAAATAATATTAATATTAATATTAATAATAATATTAAAAAGTATTTTTTAAACTGTTTATTAAAATAGTTTAATTTTTTTAGGCAAGCAATAATGTTTTTATCTGAAGGAATTAATTTTATAAATAAATTACAAGATATATTTAAAAATTTTGACAATATTGATAAAAATAATATTAATTCTATGAATATGCTTCATGATATTGTAAGTTCATATTATTAAAACAAAATAAAATTATTAATTATTTTATTATATATATATATTATTTTTTTTTTCAGACATTTTGTACAAAAAGCATAGGAAATGAACTTTGTAAAGTAAAGTCCTTAATTTCAGATATAAAAACATTGCAAAAAAATACAGAAATATTGCAAGAATATTGTTTAATTAATGATGGTAAGTTTGTTCAACATAAGACATTATTTAATAATTATTTTACAAATATTTAAATTATTACATTATATAAGATATATTATATGAGAAAGAATTTTAAATTTAAGAATAATTTAACTGCAATAACATTATTTATTTATAGATGAAGATATTAAAATCTAAACAAACATTGTCCTATTTTAAATAAGAAAATTATATTTTATTATTATTTATTGATAAGGTAATCATTTTTATCTAATTTTATTTTTAAATATTAATGCTAGATTTAAGAAATATTTTCAGCAATCATTAAAATCTTTTGTGAATTATTTTCAAAATATCTTTTAAATGTTTATTTAGAAGTTTATATATTTATCAGTAGCATTAAACTCATCATTAAGATTTAATTTTAACATAATTAAGTTTGGATCTACAATATTCTGCAACAAAAAAATATTTTAAATGAATAATATTATACATGTAAAAATATTTTTGTAAATAAATTATTTTCTTACCATTAATTCTGTAGTGATTTCAGATTTTGATTCAGAAAATGGTATATCATTTTGAAAATTATGTGAAATATTCAGATCTCTTTCTGGTTTTTCAGTTTCATAAATTGATGAAACTTCTTTAATTCTATCCCTTTAAAATAGATATGTATAATAATAATAAAAAATTTAAATAAGAACAAATTAAAGTATTGTATACTTTTGAAAAACTATTGTTAGTATATATAAATATATAATATATAAATAATATAAATAATATATATAAATATTATATAAATAAATAATTATATTATAATATTTACTTTGTAACGTTGTATTTTTCAGTTGCAATTTTTTTTTCTTTTTCCATTAATGCTTGAATTTGTAATTGTAATTGATTAAATTTTTGTTTATTTTGATTTTCTAAGTGTTTTGCATTTTTTTAAAGCTTTCATTCCTTCTTCTTTTTTAATTAAAGCAGACTATAAAATATTTAAATAATAATTGATTTAGGAATTGAAAGAATTAATAATACAATAATTATTTTAAAATATTACTTGTGTAAGATATTCAAGTTCTTTGGCACGTAAAATAAGTAAATTCTCCTTATCTTGTAAAATTTGCTTATGAATATTGAGTTCATTAATTTTTTCTTGCCATTTTAATTTATCTCGATTAGCAGATATAGTTGCTTCTTGTGCAGTTTTAACAGCAGTTTCCAACTATATAATGATTAAATTATAAGTTTTGTATATTTTCTAAATAATTATGTATCATTTCTTTTTAGAATACTTGTATATATAATTCTGTATATATAATTGTTTATACCTCTATTTTACCAATTTCACTATTGTTTTGTAATTTATTTGAAATTTGTAATTCTGCTTTTTCAATTGTTATTATTTCTTTTTCTTCTGCAAGTAATTTTAATTGTCTCTCTTGTTCTTTCATCCAAGATTCCTTCAATGTCTAATCAAATAAATATAAATATTTATTATGCAATATTTCCATATTATATAATTTTAAATTATATAACAATTTTAATTTTAATTCAAAAATATAATTTAACTATACCTGCATATAATCACGTTCCCATTTCATTTTTTCTTCAAATAATTCTCTTTCTCTTAAAAGATTTGTTGTTTTTTTTCTCAAGTGTTTCTTCTGCCTGAATACATAATGTACTTTGTTTTTGAAGTTCAGTTATAAGACTTGTAAGACGAATGTCGAGTTTCTCCGTTGTTTCTATAAATTTATTACGATGTTCTTCTAAGACATTATTTTGATGTTTTAATTCAAGCCTCTGTGCTATAAATATTAACCAATAAAAATAATTCTTTAATTTATAATTTATAGACTATAAAATATAAATAGATATTTATAAAATAATTAAAAAATTATTTGTTATATTCTTTTTTAGTAATATTATATAATAATAATTTTATATATATAATATATATATATATATAAATATGAATTCATATATTATATTTAATATATGAATAATAATTATTATATTTAAGAAAGATATAAAAAATACATTAAATATATTTATGGAATATATTATTATTTAAATATACCTTTTATGTCGTCTTCCTGTAGTTTTAAAGTATTTTCATGAGATTCCATTATTCTTTATGTTTAATTTCTAATTTTTTTTTATTCTCTATTATATCCTGAATAATAATATTAGCCTTTTGTAATATATTTTCTATATCAGTTGTTCGAGTTGTCATAGCTTGTATCATTTGATCTTCTATCTGCTTAGCTTTAGATATGTTTTCTATTACATTATTATATTGTTTTTGTAAAAGTTTTATGTTTTCAGAATGTAGTTTGCAAAGATCTTCTATATGTTGAGCATGTTCATTCTAATTAAAATATATTATAATTATAAAATCTTTTTTATTTATAAAAATTTATGTTAAAAATATAAATGTATTTATAATTATTAATTATAGATTAAATTTTATAGAGTAAATAACAAAGCACTTTAAAAATTACTAACAAAATCACAAAATAAGAAATTTATTATTTAAAATAGTAAAACTATTCAAAAAATTAAAATAAAATTATTATTATGTATATTTTTTATATATCTACATTTACAGATAAATAAATATAATAATAATTTATATATATATTATTACAAAATATATCTACATAACACAAAATATTTAACCTTTAAATTGTGAATTTTTTCTTTGTATTCATTTTCTATTTGTAATTTTTCATCTTTTAATTTTTCGAATTTTGTTATATAATCTGCTTCTAAATATTCTATTTCTTTTTTAATTCTTCCTTCTAATTTTGTTATTACTTCTCTTAAAAATGAAATTTGTCTTCTAAAAATTAAATTATTTTATTTTATTCTACTTTAAAAATAGTTTAATAAAAATATTGTAATAATATGTAAAAAATATACTCATAAAATTCTGCTTGAAATGACAATTCGCTATCATATTTTTTATTTATATAGGATAATTTATTTTCCAATTTTGATTTTTCTTCTTCTAATTTTTTTATTCTATCTTTCATTTCTCTAATTTCATTTATAAATTTCTTTTCTTCTTCGTCTAAATCCAATTTATAAATTGTAGTATTTGGTATTGATACAGACTGTGTCATTAATACCTTAAAAAATAAACAAAATTTTATTATTTTTTTATTACATACTTCTATATAAATATATTATATTTGAAAAATTTTACATTAATATATTGATTAATTCGTTCTTGTTGAATTTTTATTTGTTTCTCCAATAAAGTTTGTCTTTCAAATTGTAATTTTAAAAGTGCATTAAATTGCTTCTCCTGATTATGTAATGCAGAATGTTGTGCATTTGTTATTTTATTTAATTGTTCATTTTGTAAAGAAAATATTGTTGCTGTTCTTAATTCATGTTCTTGTTGTTGCATATTTATAAATGCATTTTCTTGATGTAATTGTGTACCAAACAAGACTGGAAAAATAGATGCACCTTCTAAATCACTTGCACCAGATTTTTTTTGAATCTACTGCACTGTTTGTATTTTGAATTTCAATGTTTTGTTTAGAAGTAATTGTTTTATCAATTTTAGTTATTTTTTCATTTGTTGCTAATTTTTTTGGGCCACCTAACCATTCTGGTAAATCTTTTTCTGTTTTCATATTTTGTATAACAGAATTTTTGGTTGAAACATTCCCATTTGTCATCTTAAAAATTAAAAAAATATATTTAAAATTGGAAATATTCGTTTTTCCTTAATTAACGTTACAATTATAAACATAATAATTATCATTATTAATATTATAATATAAATAATATAATATAATATAATATATAATAATATAATATAATATAATATAAATAAATTAATAATAAAATAATATATAATAAATTTTAAATAAAAATAAATTTTATTTTATTACCTTAATTTTTATTTTTAATATTTACTTAATTAATTATCTAATTATATCTTATCTAAATCTTAATACTATTATCTAAATTATATTTTATACTAAATTTTACACAAATATAAAATATTTAATTTTTCTGATATATTTAATTATTTATATTATAAATGAAATATAATTACCAATTCAAGATTTTGATTTGATAATAAATCAACAGATAACAAACCAAGAGGGTCATTTATAATTTTTGTATTTCTTCTACCTCTACGAGATTCTTTTGCAAAGAATTTAGTTGATAAATCAGTAGCATCTAATTTTGATTCTTGTATATTTATAGATTGTTCTAATTCTGTTTTTTTATTACTTTTAGGAATAATGGAATCCACAACATTTGGTGAATGGGATTGATTTTCAAATGAATGCTCTCTTAAAGATAATCTCTTTGCTTTATCTATTATATCAGATTTATCATTTAAATTCATTAAAATATCTTCATTTTTAGATATAGTTTTCAATTTCTGTATATTTTTTTCCTTAAATGATTCATTTTGTGATATAATAAAATTACTTTTGGAAGGTGAATAACTATTTAATTTCTGTGAAAATAATTGATTGGTTTCTTCTTGCTCTAAATGCAATTCTAATCCATTTGATTTAATACTCGTTGTAGATGTAATTGGATTTTTGATCTTGAAAATATCTTCCATTAAACTGCTTTTGCTACTAGATGCAAATAAACTCTTACTTTCTTTTGCAGAAGTTTCTTCATCAGATAATAAACCAGTTAATAAATCATCTTCATTAGAATCTATATATTAAGAAAATTCTCAAATAATTATCTAAAATGTAATTACTTAATCTATTATTATAATTATTAATTATATCTATATAAAAATATATTTTTGTAAAATTATAAAAAATTAATACAAAAAATTTTAAATCTAAATTTTTTAAATTCTTTAATAACAAATCATAATTAAAAATAAATCACCAGTTTATGTTGTTTGTATGTTAAGTGTATAAAGCACCTTTAAATATAACTTTTTTTTTATTTCTCCATCAGATTGTATATTAGAATCTTTAAGAGCATTTGTAGTTTTTAATTTTTTAAATGAATCATTAAATAATTCCATATCTAAACTCTCCATATCTTCTAATGTTTTTGTAATATCATTTAAATTTGCATTTAAAGTTTTATTATGATCAACCATCTGCATATAATAAATTAAATAAAAACTATATAAATAATTATAGTATATAATTATAGTATAGAAACTAATATTCTACAATAAATTTTTTCTATATATTTTAATTATTTTTATTTCTTTATTAAATAAAAATATTGATACCTTAAAAAAAGTAACTAAATTACTTAAATTTTTATATTTATTTTTTACTGTATTTTTTTATTGTAAATCACTAGCTGCAAAATAATCGTCTCTTGTTTGGGCTTTAAAGGTTTAATGTTTATTGGGTAAGTCATTAGCCTTATTTGTTTCTTAAAAGGAGTGTTTGAATTGATTCATATTCAGGTTTCTATGGAGATAATAATATTTATAAAACAACTTAAAGAAAATATTCTTTTATATTGTTTTCTTTATAGATATATTTTTTAAAAGATAATATAATTTCTAAATTATATAACAAAATTTATTATCTTTCTTAATATAAATTAATACGTGTTTTTAGAATTAACGAATTAAAATTATTGAAATTTAATTTGAGTAAAGAATTATACAAATTATACAGATTTTAAGTTTTGTCAAAAATATATTTATAATACTATATTATACAATAATATATTTATATAAATAAATTTAAAATATTTGTTTTTTATGTGTTTATGGAATTATATATATGTTGATTACAAATTTAGTATGGTTTTAACAAATTATTGTCAATTTTTATACGCATGCTCATTAAATATTTGAAAAAGTGGGGAAATAGTAAAAGATGGTAGGGGAATTTAATGGAAAGGGGAATTTTTTTGGTATCACATATATGACTCCTCTATGTTCGCCCAAATCGATAATACGTTAGAAACTGTTGATATCATATGAATGTTTGCTATAAACAATTATTTTCTCTGATCTTTTTCACTTTTAATAAATTTAAATTTTCTGTTCTGCAAAAAAGCGATGCAGAGTGTTATTAATTCTGTAAAAGGTACTGCGCTTGGTGTTGCCGAATACTTAACCCCTGTACTAAAGGTATGCTTGATCATATAAATCTATGATATTTTTTTAAAAAAATAATATTTTTCAAAAAAATAATAAGTAAATAAAATATATTACAAATCATATATAATTTTATATAATGAACATACCGCCATCATATGCTATTTAATCATTTGTTTATATTATGTTATATGTTTATGATATTGTAATAAATTTATATATGTTATATGATTTTTATAATCAAACTTGAAAATAATAATTTTAATTATCCAATATATTTTTTTTATAATTATACATATAAAAATTTTATAATTGTCACATAAAAATATATATAAAAATAATATAAAATTAATGATTACTTGTGATATTGTTACCATGATTATAAAATTATATTTCATAATTTACAAATTCTCTAATAAAAAAATTGATAAATCAAAATAAAATTGATTTTTAAAAAATGTCCTTCCTTATTGTATATAGCTTTTTATTCTACAGTATTCTTAGGATAAATCCATATATAAATTTTAATATATATTTTTATATTTTTTTCTCTGTTTATTTATTATGTTATATTTTTTAAAAGTTTTTTTAATGTGTAAAATCAATTTTTTTTCCAACTTTTTTTTTTTTACTTTTCAATTTTAAATTTTTTTATTTTTTTTTGTTATATATATTGTTACATTATTTTTTAAAATTAAAATTTTTTTATATTATTATAAAATAAATTTAATCTTTATATTATTAAATATTATTAAAATTTAATCTTTATATTTTTAAATAAAATTTTTTAAAGGTAATATAAAATTTTTTTTCATATCAAATTATTTATAATATTAAAGGAAAGTAAATTTCGGGAAACTGGAGTATTAACACCAGAAGAGTTTGTGGCAGCAGGTGATCATTTAGTACATCATTGTCCAACATGGCAGTGGGCTACTGGTGATGAAGATAGAGTAAAATCATATCTTCCTAAAAAAAAACAATTTTTGTTAACACGTAATGTTCCTTGTACTCGCAGATGCAAACAGGTATTATTAATTCCAATCAATTATTATATAATTAAAGTTTTTTATTCTAAAAGTATAAATAAAATAATTTGTTTTATCAAATTTTGGTCTTAAATATTATTTAATATGTAATATGTAATTTAAAAATTTTAAAAAAGTAACAATTATAAATATTCACTATAATACATAGAAATATTATTTGATTATTGTATTTGACTATTTTAAAAAATATATATATATATATATAAAGATTTATAATTTATTATAAGATTAATAATTATAATGTTATATGATAATATCAATTTCTAATGTCAGATTGAATTTTAGATTGAATATAGCAAAGAACAAGAATGCATTATAGAAGCAGATGATCCAGAAGGTGGTTGGGTTGACACACATCATTATGACACAAGTCTTAGTGGAATTGAAGAAAGAGTAACTGAAATGACATTAGACGAAACACAACTTTCTCAGTCAATTGGTACAGAGGAAAATAATGGAGAGGAAAATGATGATGATGATAATGATGATGATGATGATGATGATGATGAAGATGCAGCAGATATGGAAGCTTTTGAAGTCAGTGGAATGCTAGATGAAGAAGATAAGGTATTTTAGTTTTCAATAAATATATTATAATTATTCAATATTAATATAGATGCATTGTTGTTTTGATTTTGATATTAAATTTTAAAAATATTTTAATTTTATATATAAACTTAAAATTTTTAATGAAATAGTATGCAGCAAAAATTACAAAAAAACCAATAAAAGATAAATGGGAATCATTTTCTGAAGGAGAAATTATTCACACACGTACATATGATTTATATATTACATATGATAAATATTATCAGACACCTCGATTATGGCTTTCAGGATATGATGAGGTTTGTATTCTATTTTTTCTATTATTTTTGTATTCTATTATTTTTATTAACTATTTTATAATTTCTATTAATAATAAGTTTGCTAAAAATATTATTTATAAAATATGAAAGAAAATATTTATTCCTAATATAAATTTTTTATAAGAATCGTAAGCCTTTGACAGTAGAAGAAATGTATGAGGATGTTAGTCAAGATCATGCTAAAAAGACTGTTACAATGGAGATACATCCTCATATACCTGGACCATTAATGGCTTCAGTTCATCCATGCAGGTATTTTAACTGAAATTAATCAAAATAAACTCATATTTTTGTATAATTAATGTTAAATAATAAATTAATGTAAAATTCTTAAAACTTTTATGAAATAAAATTGTAGACATGCTGAAGTAATGAAGAAAATTATTGAAACTGTAATGGAAGGTGGTCGTGAACTTGGAGTACATATGTATCTTATAATATTTCTTAAATTTGTGCAATCTGTAATTCCTACAATTGAATATGATTATACACAAAATTTTATGCTAAATGCTTCTGGTTAAGAATTTTGTGAACTTTCATCATACTTTAAGGATGAACGTGATTTTAGTTTATAAGCTCATAATAACTAATAGTATTAAAAGAATTGTGTGAAGTATATAATAAGTATATAATAAGTATAATAATAAGTATATTTCAGTTCAAAAAATTATATATATATAAAATATTTAAATATAAAATCAAATTTGACTGATTTTATGTACTACATTTCAAATCTTTATTTTTTGTTATTATAAAAAATAATTAATTCTTTTTGATATTAAAAGTTAAAAATTATTTTAAATTATTAATATTAATAATATTAATATTAAAATAATATTAATAAATAATATTAATATTAAAATATATAAATAATATATGTATAAAATAATTTTAAATTATTTTTCAAAATAAAATTATAATTATTTTATAAAATAATATATAAAATATTATACATATTAAGGAAAAATAAAAAGAATTAAATTTCGAAATAAATTTGAATTTCATTAAAATCATTTTTTATTTTTTGAACTTATGATATGATCTATGGTATTATGTGATGTTTAATTGCTCTAATATGTTGTTAAATCTACCATTAAGAAGTTACTATTTAATAATTATTAATATAAATTAATGTAATAATAAAAAATGTTAATATAACAAATTTAGGAAATAAAGTTCCCCATTATATTTTTTTTTATTTTTGTATATTAATTTTTCATTATTTGCATTATTTACATAGTATTCATAATACAGTAAAATTTATTTGAATAAAATAATTGTTTTAATAAAAGATATTTAACAAATTAAAATTATTTGTAATATTAATTTGTTAGAATTAGAAAACTATGGAATGAAGTTTTAGCAAAAATGTTTCAAAAATAACTATATTTTTTTTATATATATATTTTTTATATATGATATAAAATAATCTATTCCACTTATGTTATTAATTACATGAAAAACAAGTGATTCTATCATTAAATTTTCCTTTTGTTATATAACAATATTAATTAATATATAATAATAATAATTAATATATAAATATATAATTGCATAATAAATAGTTTAAAATTTTTACGTTAGAGTTCGTTGTTTTAGTTCGATTTTAAAATGGCGGTACTTGTACATTTTGTATTTAAATGTCATTTAACAAGTTGGATATTTGTAAGTAAAAATATTTTTAAAGATCTTTTTTACATATTTTATAATTTTTAATTTTTAAATTCATTTCAGGTTTAGATTGATGTTATATTTAATGTTATTGATTATATTATTTTTTACAATTTCATTTTTTCTAGGTTAAGAAGAATTTTTGGTAAAATTTCTATCTTGTAATTTAAAAGAATATTTTAAAAAAAATGTCGACTTTGTATGATCAGATAAAACTACTTTATGAACAATCTTTATATTCAAATGTTATTTCACTTGTAAGTGAATAAATTAAATGATTTAAAATATTTTTTTTCTTGCAATGGAATAAAAATTTTTCAAATACAGTAGATCTCCATTTATCAGAACAAAATTTTCATCAATGCTTAATTAATGAACTGAAATCAAGTTTTTTTTATTTGAATTAGTAATGATTATCATTTTAATTAAAAAAATATTTGTTATAAAAGTTTTATTTTCTAGTTATTTAAAAGAAAAGTTAAATATTATAAAGAAAATTATTGAATTACTGTTATATGAATTCTTAAAAATTGCTTGTTTTTCATTAAGATCATAGATGGAGTTTTATTGTAATACTTGTAGTATTTGTAAGAAATAATAATTAATGAATATTTTATAATTTATATTAATATCTGATTCATATAATTGAAAAAATAATAAAATTTAATAAATGATTATCTTATATTTTAGGCAAATTTAATATTATCATTAAGTGAACATAATTCAGATTTATTGCCAATATATGGTAAATTCCATATTTATGTTTATTATGCAGATGCTCACTTTTACTTAGGAAAATATAAAAAAGCAGAAGCACTTTATAAAAAAGCTTTGCAATTTCGTAAATGTTTATTAAAATCTAAAGGTGCTACAAAACCTTTAGAAGGTCAAAAAGATTTACCAACTGATGTTGATATAAAATTTCAAATTCATTTATGCTTAATAAAATTAAAAAATTCTCAAGAAGCACTTCAAGTACTACAAAGTATTCCTGGTAAACAAAGAACTCCAAAGGTAATTTATGAAAATGTATTTTAATCTTAATATTAATAAAATATTGACATTATTTGTTAATGAAATTTAATTTTTAAGGTAAATATGGCTCTTGCAAAAATGTTCCAAGAACAAGGAATGGAACGTTCTGCAATTACTACTTATAAGGAAGTTTTAAGAGAATGTCCATTAGCCTTAGAAGCTGCTGAAGGTCTTTTATCTCTTGGAGTAAAAGGAATCGAAGTAAACTCATTAATAGTAGGTTGTGCATCCAATCTATCAAATTTAGATTGGTTAAATACATGGATTAAAGCTCATGCACATATACATAATAGAGAATATACACATGCAGTATCAACATTAAGATCTCTGGATAATGTTAATCTTTTAAGAGATAATTTTAATTTATTAACTACAATGGGAGAGTGCTATTATTATGCTGGAGATGATAAAAATGCTTTACTATGCTTACGAAGAGCCAGAATTATAGAACCAGATGTTATGAAAGGGTAAGATATTTAAAAATATATGATGCATTATAGTTGTAATTTATAATGTAGAAAATGTAGAAAATGTAGAAAATTAAGATAGCTCTAAAATTTTTTTTTCAATTATATTTTTCAAATCTTTTTATATATATATATATATATATAATATATAAATATTATTTTTTATATATATAATAGGGTTGATGTTTATGCTGCAGTATTGTATAAAACACACAGTATTAAGGAACTTGAAAGACTGATTCCAATAATAACAGCAAGCAATGAATGTACTGGAGAAATATATGTTGCCATGGCATATTCTCTTTATGCTTCTAGAAAGCTTGGTAGAGCAAACACATTGACAGCACAAGCTTTAAATTTAAATCCAAATGATATAGAAGCAACAATTCTTCGAGGAAACATTCTGATAGAACAGAAAAAATATCAAGGTGCATTGTTCTTCTTTAGGCATGCTGTTCAATTAAAACCATATCGTTATGAACCACATAAGGGTTTGGTAGATTGTCTTGTAGGAATGCATAGATTGCGAGAAGCTCTCAATATTGCCAGTGGATCTTGTAAACAACTTGGGCATACTGCAAGAGTTCTCACGGTAATTATATAAATTAAATTTTATATTGTTATAAATTGTTTATATACTATAGTTTATATACTATATAATTAAACATATAATTTTGAAAGATGATTAATTATAAATTGAAAATAATTTTATATAGCTTTATGCATCTGTACTCATGAAAGATCCAGTTTCTGTTGGAAAAGCAAAAAATCTTTTGGAAAAAGCATTGCTTCAAGATGAAATTTATTTACCTGCTGTATATTTATTAGCTGAAATATATGAACAAGAAATGAACTTAGAAGCTGCAATTGCATTACTTGAAAGACAAGTAGAAATACAAACAGCATGTAAATTGCATCAGATGCTTGGAGATCTATGGGCAAGAGTTCATAATGAAGAAAAAGCTTTGGATCATTATGCAATTGCTTTAAAGTAAGATTTTTTGTAACATTTTTATATATTATATATATATATATATAATATTAATTTATCAGAAAAATTTTATAATATAAAATTTAGTATATATTTCTGTTTGAAAATTATATAAATCGATATAACATCTCAAATTAGTCTAGATCCAAGCAATAGAAGAGCATTGGAAGGCATGCACAGATTAGATAACTCTTCGAATAAACTAGATTCAACTTATTATATGACTGTGGGAGAAGAACAAACAGATACAACCTATGATGTTGGTGATGGTTTGCCAGATACTGATAATGATGAAGCACCTGATGAAAGTGAAACTGAAGCTGTGTGGTCAGATATGGATCTTGAAGCAAATAGTCAATAACAAAAAAAATTATTATTATATTAAATAAGTTCAATATAATTAAGAACTGCAATTAGTTTTTTTTGTGTATATTGAAGTTTTGTTTCTTTTATTTATCTGTAAATGTCCGAATTTTTGAAATCTGATATCTTTTCAATAATTAGAAATATGAAAAAATATTATTTTCATTATAAGAATTTTATATATAAAAAATATCCAAAATTTCGTCTCCATTGATTACTAGTGTTTTTATAACTAATATCTATATAAATACTTATCATTCATATGAAAAAAATTTTGTATTAAAAACATAGTATTAATTCGTTTATTACAATTTTATCATTATTTTTTATTTGTGTATACAATAATATATATTTCATAAAAATTTATTATGTTAACAAATAATATTTTAAGGGGATATAAGGCAAAAATCAAGTAAATTTTTTCAGAAAGTTCTAAAAAGTATTAAAAATAACGCACAAATAATTATATCAAAATTTTTTTAATTATAATTGTATTAAAATACATTTAATATATTAGTTATAAGCCACTAATGCAAATGATATATAAAATTGTTTATGATCCATTCTAACATTAATAGAATTAGTAATAATAAATTATAAAATATATACACAGATTTAAATATAGATAGATATAAATATCTGAATGAAACTTATATGAAATATGTATGTATTTGAATTCTTAAAATTTAAAAAATTAATTATTTCAATAATAATGAATTATTATTTTAAAAATTATAAAAGTTTATTATACTTTAATCATGTTAAAGACAATGTAAAATGAAAAATGTAAATTATAAGATACTCAAAAAGATAAGAAAAATTAAAATTAAGCAAAAATTAAAATGATTGCTTAATTTATAAAATAAATTAGAAATGAAAAATTTAATATAAATTTGCATAAAAAGTTTAATGTATAAATAAAAACAACAAGTTAATAAAATTAATAATATTGAATATAATATTAAAAAAATTATTGTATCGAATTATATAATTATATATATAATAATTATTAGAAAATTTTTTAAATATTTAGTTTCATTTGTCATTCACAATACAACACAATATAAATATTTCAATTTGGTTCCATAATCCAAAAATTACAAATATAAATTATAAAAAGGAATTTCTTTTTTATTATTTTATGTATCATATATTATATATCATTTTTATAAATCAGATGCATAATCAATAGTATTGGCAATAGTAATATTAATTAATAGAATCAAATAAAATATTTATAAATATATGAATATGATAAACGATATATGAAAATATTCATTTGATATTAATTTATATATTATATAAATATTATATGCAATAAAACAATTTGTAACTATAGTTTAGATAAATTTTTTTCAAAAATTTATATTTTTTTTTATACAAATTCTTATGTCCCCTTAAATAACAAACTTTTGTTTATTAAATATTGACTGTATATTTTATTTAAAATTCTCTATTGATGCTTTGCTAAAAAAATTAAATGAATAATAAATATTATATTTGTTTTAAAGTACTGCAAAATATTTAAATTTAAATTTTTCTATTTAATAATAAATTTATTACTATCTTTTGGAAATATAAATTATTATAATAATTTTAACAAAATATTGGCTATATTTATTTATTAGTTTAATATTTTTAAATTTAAGTTAATTACATTGTATATATTTCAAAATAAGTACAAAAGTATTTTATTTGATTTTTCATATTTATTTCGCCCAAAAAGTACTTTTTCATCTTGTACATTACTCATTCTCAGAAATATTGTATACATAGAATAAAAGTACATGCTATGGGTAGTTTATTTACACACTATACAGGATTGGAGATTCATAGAATCAATAATACTATTAATGCACGAATTATTGATGTACACTATACTTATGCTTATTTATCTACTTATTTTGAAAAAAAAGAATCGCATAAAGGATACATTAACGAAGTTGTTCATTGACAAGAAAGTCTCAATTGTAATGATATATGCTTAAGTGTCATAAAAATAATAACTAATATTATATATATGTATCCTTTTTAAGCAAAAAAAGCTTTTGGATTCGATGTATTTAGAAAACGCAGAATTCAGTCTTAAAGGTAGGAAGCACGCATATTTTCCTAAATAATTCGCTTTGGTCTTAGAACTGCGTTTATATTACACATATGTATGTATCTATATATGTATTTTATCATTTCAATTTAATTTGACGATATAAATATTAAAAATACTTTAACAAAAATGAAAGCATCACTTATGCAACTAATTCATATTTTAACAATTTATACAATGCAAAATTAATAAATAGAAATGATCCGAATGAAAAATAGATATTAAATGTGAAAAAACGACCTATCGATAAATTTAATATGTAAATTTAGTCGTTCTAATGATTATTTTTACTATTATTTGTATTACAAGAATAAGTTTATCGTCATAATGATACATGTTCTTCTTTTAGAGTAATCTATTTTGGATACTCTTTTATTCATTATTTTCTTGTGAAGTCAGTTTATCTTGTATATCCTTAAAAGTTTTGGCTTGTATGTTTGATCCCTCTGATGAAATAGTAGTGCAAGAAGAGATAATGGAAGAAGATGAGGAAGACGAAGATGATGAGGAAGATGGATCATCATTAACAATTGAAGAAACACCTGGACCGGGTGACGGACTATGCACAGGTCGGAAAGAAAAACCAAGGGAATCGAGACTGGAACAAGATTCTGGAGTTCCAGCTGAACTAATAGTTCCTGGATGTAGACTAGATATTGCCACATCCAATCTATATTAAAAAATAAAATATCATAAATTTTAATATAAATATTAAAAACTAATTTATATTATCAATTTAAAAAAATTTTCTATTTTAAATAATAAATTTACCTAGATGCAGCAGAAGTTAACAAACCAGAGATACGTTTTGCAGGAGGCTGTAATTGATCCATTCCAGAATCATCTAATTCAAATTTTCTCTTAACTGATGCCAAACAACTTGGTCGTATTGCAATAGGACTTAGACTTCGTCTAAATATAAAATTTATCAATTAAAAAAAGTCATATTAACAAACTAGATTTTATTATAAAGAATAAATATACCTTGTAGCAAAAGCTTTTCTAGTGGGACTAGGTGATAAATTATTCTTCCATGTAGCTGCATGAACACCAGGTGAATAGCATTGTCTTTGACCAAAACCAGTTCTTGTTGGTGATGGTGAAGAATACATAGTTGAACCACTTACAGATAAATTGATGCTCAATGGATCAAGAATTCGTTTAGTAATTGGTCGTGATTCTATTTTAAATTGCAATGAAGCTGATTCTGAATCTTTAAAAGACAATCCTTCAGCTTCTATAGTAAGATCTTCCCATGATTGAGAGATCTGCATGGCACTATGTATTTCTTTTTCATGTGCTGCTTCACGGCCAGCAACATCAATACATTCTTCTTGTCTCAATTGACTTACACGTGGTGTTAATCTAGGAACAGTTCCAGAATTCTAAAATAAAAGTTATTTCTTAATTAAAAAAATGCAATCAATGAATATTATAAAATTAGACATCAGAAATGATTATTTTATTATCAATAAAGTTAATTATTATATAATTATTACTTATATTCAATTTTAAACAATTATTCTCTTATAATTTTAAAATAATATATAATAGACATTAACAAAAAAGATTTGTTCTTACACTAGTGCTAAAGCGTCGTATGCGAGGTGAATTTGAAAATATGTTAAAATTTGAAGGAACATTCCTGAAAAAATAATTAAATTTAATATTTAGATTATATTGATTTCAAATTTAATAAAAGATACCTTGGTGCCGAAGCAGAAGGTGATGTTACAGACATTGTTGCAGTGATCTTATTGATCATGGGTGCACTATTAGATCGTTTTAAACTGACTACTGTGTAGTCAACGTCCATGATCATCCAGACTGACTATTTTTTGATACATTTGTCTGGAGATACTTTTTAAGGACTCAGAATACATTGGAAATGTACAACATTGGTTGACTAAATAAATCAACAATAAATTTTTGATACAAAATAAATTTATAGTATATCTTTTTCTACTGTTCGATAATTCAATAATAGTAAATTTTGATTTCTAGCACGAGAACTAAAAAGATGCCGCATTTGAACTCTCATTTAAACTCTGCCGCTCCGATTTTTGTTTCACGATTTGATGCGCTGTTAGCGCGAAATATTTATAATTGTACTTTGTAAAATAAAATAATAAAATAAAAAACTTATTAAAATATAAGTTTCATTAAATTGAAAGTATACATAGTAAGAGAATAAAATTGTAAAGTACAGAAATGAATTCGGATATTCCTGATTTTCAATTTCTACTTGAATCACTATACAGAAAACGGGTTACAGATTATAATTTGATTTAATTTCATAACCCCTAATTCTTCAACGATATCACTAACTACAATTAAATTATAATTTCTTCGCTTGACGGTCAAACACCTATCGTTTCTTATCATGAAACATGCGTATGTCAGACTTAGCTATGATCCTTTTGCTTCCTTAGAAAAAATCTTTCGTGATTAAGAAACACACTGAATTTGTTGGTAGCCTTGGACCTTCATAAAATCTATAAGTCTGAGATTTGTATGATTGAATTGTAAAATTAATTACTATATAAATTATTATAAAGAAAGAAAATTATATTATTTTTAATGATTCTAAAATTATAATTTCTCTTTTTTTTTTTTTTTCAAAAGATGCAACATTTAAGTATTTTAAATAATATTTATACATTAAATTATCTTAAATTTTATTATAAATAAAAATGGAATAATTTGAATATAATAATATATTTATATATTTTTAAAATTGAGTAATAATTATATGTAAAATCGAATTTAAAATTTTCTTAATATTTCCTTAATTACGAATTTATACATGAAACAAAAGGGTTGTTTAACGGACGCATTTTCAATACAGAAAGAGAAAGAATAAAAAAGAAAGAGAAATATTAAAAATTTATATTTAAATATAATATAATACATATTTATTTTAATATTAAATATAATATGATATAATATATATTTAAATATCATATTAATTCAATACTTTTAAAACATTATACATTTATAGTAAATAGATGTTCATTATTATTTCAAATTATGTAAGATATTTATCAATTTATAAAAATATAAAAAAATAATATTTTTATAAGAAATATAAAGTAAAGAATTAAAAATTCTTTTTACGGATATTATTTTTTAATGATAAATATATATATATATTAATATATATTTTTTATTTCACAACATTTATGTACATATATATAAATAGTTGTATATTTAATTGTACAATTATAAAACCGTCTTATTTATTTTTTTAATTAATTAAATTTTATCTGAGTAAATATTGAGTTAAAAATAGATTTCAAAAAATATATCGAAGAAAATAAATTTATATTTTTTAATTAAAATTATATATTTTTAATATTATAGAGAATGAAATAATAAAAATTAATATTTAATATATATGTATTATATATTAAATGTAATATAAGTTTCCATTAACAAAATAATAATAATAATTATATTTTATATTTTATAATTATATTTCAAATTTATATTATTAACATATGATAGAAATATAAATTTTTTTTCAAAGATATGTTTTATGATATAAATAGAAAATTTATGTTACTTATTAAAATAATACATTGATATTATTTATAGAAAAATTATTTTTTTATGTTTAAATTTTATTAAAGTCAATATTGAAAACAATAATCATTATCAAAAATGAAATAATAACAATAATTAAATCTTTATATTTTCAAATAAAAATATTTATTTTAATTAAAATGTATCACATGGATTCTAAAAACTTATTTCTGTATCTATAACTTTAATTGATACTAATTATCTTTTCCCCAATTCCTAAATCAAGATGGAAAATGAAAAATAGTTTTGAGCAATATTAAAAGGTTTTATTTCTGCTTTCTTTATGCAAACTCTGTTTTAAATGTATTATCTCAACTAAACTGAGAAGATAGCAAGATTCATAATAAAATACATATATAAGACATAGAAATGATAGTAATCGTTTTTTAACAATTACAGAGTTGCAATAATGAAAGCTCCATAACCACAGTGATTTAACATTTGGTACAAATAAATGCCATTTGATCTCTTATTAAAATTATTAATCTATCCTATATCTACATCTGCATACTGCATACTTAAATGAGTATCTATTATTTGAAATAGTTCAAATGGTTGTGGTATTCTTCCAGTTTCCAATTTGGACCACACAGGAACATCTAAAATATAATAACATAAATATACATCTAAAAATTTTGAATAAATATATTTATTGTAATTACAAAAATATTGTTTACCATTAAAATGTATTTCAAAAGCTCCTGATGATATGAAATGTCCTTCTATGGCATTAAAAATAAAAAATATCATTATACAAGAATAGAATCGGTTATCTAAACACCATTGCCACAATGATGCTGGTGGTTGTCCTAAATCAAGTCCACTTACTATTAAAACTATCAGTGAAATTTTTACAAAACTCTAAATATAAAAAAAGAAAACATGTTATATTAATAATTATAATGTTATAGATTCTAAAAAGAAATTAATAATAATTACTAATAATTTAGCAATGAGCATCTTAGTATGAGAAGGAATATAATTTTCTCCATTAATTTGTAATTCTGGATATTTTTGTTTAAGAATATTGACATATTCTTCAAAAACTTTTCTATATCCACAAGAGTAACTGAAAAATAAAAAGATGAAAATTGTTAAACAAAAATTAGATGAAATTATAAGTATATAAATAATGTATATATATATATATATATACATATATATATACGTATTATATATATTAATTATATATATTATAATATATATTAAAATATTGAATAAATTAAAATCGAATAATAAAATTTTGTAATTAAATTTGTAAAATTTACCAATAGAAGAATTTTAAAGTCGGCCCTGTTTTTGTACCAAGTTTGGTTAATGAAACTTGATTATCGTCAGCTTTATTGCCTATTGCACACAGAATGATGCAAAAACACAAAATTAATTTCATACGACGCAGCATTTTTTTAAGTCATTGAAATTTTATCAGTTTAAATTTTAATCAGAACTGTTATATTTTTATTCTCTAAAAAACGCCGACTAATAATCTTTTACACCTGCCTATAGTTTAGACTGATTAGTCACTATTTGCTGCTAAGCAAATAAGCAATGCAGTTCGAATCAAATCAAGTCAAACTGAATCTAGTAAAATATAAATAACCATACAATTTTATTAGACTCATGAATTAAAGTAGTATTATATAATAAAATTAATTTATATATTATTATATACAATTTGTTTTTTTTCCAAATCTTATAAGAAAATCAAAAATATTTATTCATTTATTCTATTAAAATTTTTTTATGTATATAAATATATTTTAAAATAACTTTAGATTTCAAGAAATGAAAATAAAATAATTTTTAATACTTTAAATGTTTTATAAATAAATTAATTTATTTAATAATTTATAATAAATATTCGTATGATTTTTACAATTTATTCAATATTTTATAATAATAAATAAAATAAATTAAAATCTAGTGATAAAAATATTATTTTTCTTTTAATCTAGATCTGTATTAATTAGTGACGTATTATGAATTAGATTTGAAACAAATATTTTTATTGAATATAATTCAAAATAAAAACAAAATATTACGATCTGTTATAATTTTTATTTATAAAATTTTAAACTAACATATATATGTATTACATATTATAATTTTAAATTAACTAACGAAATACTAGATATATATATAAAATGATGCATTTAAATTTCATTTAATCGCTTTGTTGTAAGAACTTTAAAAACAATATGATGAAGTAAAATTAGCACTACTTGATCATTATTAAAAAAAAATTTATTTGTATATGCTTTTATATTTATATTTGTTACTAACTAAAAATATTTAAAAAAAAAATTTTCCTATAAATAAATATTATGACCATTTCTATTTCTATGTCAAATATTTTTTTAAATTGCTATAAAAAAAAAGAAAAATTTAAAACTGAAGAAAATAAAATGCATAATAATTACATTTTATGCATTTCATAATGTAGAACATATGTCATAATGTGCATTAAATTTATTGAGATGTTTTTTTCTTTAAGAGATTTAGCATACAAATAGTATTTGTAAATAGAGTATATGATTTCTTAAACTTATTGTGTAGTTTTATCAACAAGAATACATGTTATATTTTGTATTCAAAAGAACAATTTTTTTTTTAAAGAGTATTTTTTTGGAGGCCTTTCTGGCAGCAATATGTTTAAAAAAATTTAGAAATCAAATAATTCTAAAATAAATAGTTTTCCCAAAAAACCAATTTTCTTTTTATTGTGATAATTAACTTGAATTATTATTTTTCTTCAACATATGGAAGATATGTCATAAATTTGTCATAAGTCTGGAAATCTAAAAAAAAAAATAGAATTTATTAATAAATATTTAAAAAACAACATAATTGTTCATAATTGAACAATATTTAATCATGAAAATTTTAAGAGAAAACAATAATGATTTTTAAAAAATTTTTTAAATTACCTTGTAGGATCTTCAAGATAATCTGGTGGTATTTGAAATAATTTAGGATCTATATCGTTTCTAAAGGCAAATTCTTGAAAAGTAATTTTTGCTGTTACCGTAGGTAAAATAGGAATATCAATTTTGACAGGAAAACCAGGTGGTAATTTCATTAGAACAAATTCTCGTAATTTGCTAAAATGTTTGAATGGTGCTATTACTTCCAAAACATTGAGTAACATATCAACAGTTAATGGAAAATCTGGACTCATGGCAACTGTTGCTTTAAATGATTTACTGCTTTCTTTATAAACAAGATTTCTTCCAAGAAGTGGACATTGACCAGGTGAAGCCATAATATATTCTTCCCAAGTAATATTTGAGTCTGGTGGTGGATTTAAAGAAGCTCTTCTAACTTGAGACTAAAAATTAATAAATTAACTAATAAAATAAAAAGATTCTATTATTTTTTTACCTTTCCATTGGCAAATCCTTGTGAACTTCCTTTTATTAGTGATTCCATAATAGCCTTATTTTTTTGTAGGTCTTCTTCGCTTAAATGTTCTCTTCGTTTTCTACTTTCCAAAACCAATCCGTTGATTTGGTAAAAGTCCGCGTGGAAAGGCCCTACCATCTCCTTTATTAAATATTTGAGATATATCTCAAAAAAATTTTAAGAAAAGAGCAGGAGAAGGAGGAGAAGAATCATAGGCAAAACCAACAATGCTGGCCTTACCCTTTTGTCTTCACGAAATATCCAGCCTGTTTGAGCTCTTGAAAGTGTAATACCTTTTGTTGACATTTGTGCTGCCATAATATCAGTTGACATAAGAATATCAACTTCATCTTCTATTTCTAATTCCGTTTCCTAAAAAAATTAATTAATTAACAAATTCATTGTCACAATTGATAGTAAGAGATATTTAATTATAAATGTTGATTAATAAGAAAATAATTTAACCTCACATCCTACTCTTTGATAACGTTTAGTTTTATTATCAAGTATTGCCAATGATTTGCTTGGCTTTTGGTCACCATTAAAAATAATGAGATATCACCTCTTTCCCATCTCATATCATTAAAATCTACTAAAGTAGTATCCATTCTAATGGATGCTCCACTTTTATGTATCTTACAAACATCAGAAGGAAGAACACGAGAAACTAATGGCACTATAAAGTTTAACATATTTATAAGTTAATACAATTATAATTACAATTATGATTAAAATCAAAATTCAAATATAATATTATGTACCCCAACTTTGAAAATCCCATTTTAATTCCATATAGAAGTCTCCCATTTCATGTAATGTTGCAACTAAATTTGGTCTTCTTTCTTCCATTTGCTCTCTAGCTTGTTGTTTTAATTTTCTTAGTAATGATGATACTATAAATTATGCAATTAACAAGATTAATAAATATATTATTAGTAATAATTTCTTATGATAATAAAGATTATTATATTAACTGGTTGTCTATCTCCATAACTGATTGCTTCTGCAAGTGGGCTCCATCCAGCTAAATTTTTCACTTTTACTGGTGCACTATGTGCAAGTAATAATTGGATTGATTCTGAAATTTTATTTAAAATATATATATATATATATATATATATATATTAAAAATATTTTAAAATATTTTTACCTTTTCTTCCTAACATGACAGCTAAATGTAAAGGAGTATTTCCTATAAAAAATTAAATTATTTTATAAATTATAATTAATTACAAATGATTATTCGCATATTTTGTACAAAATTAATAAATCTATAATAATTATTAACCTTGTCTGTCTTTTTCAGCGATATTACAAGTTCTAATTAAAGAACTTAAAGTTTTAACATCGCCTTGAAATATGCATTTGTGTAAAGGATATTTTTCATTTTCTGAATTTTCAGCCATGGCCATTTATCTTTGTTAAGAAAATAATTGCCAAAATAGCAATAATTCTTTTCTTTATCTAATCGAATCCCTCTTAATATAATAATAATTTTCTTGTATTCCATTTCCAAAATATAGCATACTATATTGAATAATCATATCAAAACTTCCATTATATGGAAGTTATTCATGAACAAAAGTTCACTATTTAAAATTGTATGTTTAATATTTAATAAAATTAATGAATGATTTTTATATTTCATTAAATATTTTTGTAATTTACATTCAAACATCGATATTTTTATATTTTTCAAAAGATAAAGACGAAGAGATTCATATATTTATAAAAAACTTCTAAATTATGTTTAATATTATCGTTGTTTTTACCGATGTTGTTACTTTTTACCGCTGTTTTTAATTGTCTGTATTATTTGTATTTGTACTAGGTGGTCGTACTTGTAATCAAAGTAGGTTAGTCACCTCATTATTTTTATCTTTTAGTATCTTTTTTATAATACACTATTAAAAAGTATATGTTCTCAAAATTAATGTATTAAATTTTATTTTATTTTAATATTACTTATATTAAGATATATAAATATATATTGCATTAATACCACCACATTAAAACAGTATTTATTTGTGAACTAGTGTCGTCTATATATTCTAATATATATGTGTATGTGATTTGTAAATAAGATTATAATTCCTGTTTATGAAAATATTATAGTCATTATATATAAATCAAAGCTAAAAACTTTAACATTACAAGAGTAACTATATTTTTACATTAAATTTATTACAATTTATGTATTACCATATAAATTATACTGTCAAGCAATATAAATAAAATTGCTAGGGACATTTTTAATACTAATTGAACGTATATATTCAATTATATATAAATATTATATACAATAAATATTATACAATATATATAAAATAAAATAATTAAATAAAATATAATTTAAGTATTGAAATTATTTTATCTATTTATCTATCAATTTTCTATTTTAAATTATATCATTTTTTTAAACTCTACATATATTATTATATTATTATAAATTAATAATTGTTAAAATATTACTACATTATTCCAAGTCTATTTTTAATCAATAAACTTCTACTAGTAATTATCAAATGCTTTAGATAAATTTATATACATTTAAGTATCACATAGTTTTTTACTTTCTTTTCATATGAAATTAAATTGAAATTTGCTTCATTAAATTAAAAATTTATTTTACAATTATTTATACAATCATTACTACTACTATACAAACATTTTAATACAGAAAGTTTACAGAAATGAACAAACAAAAATTTAATGTTATAGTCTTTAAAATATCAACAAAATTTTTCACAATGATTTATTCTCAATTAATTAATTGTCCCAAAAAACATCTGTTGAATTTGTTTCTTCATGATCAATATTCACTGCTTCTGTAGCCGTTTCTGGAGGTTGTGATACATATGACCAAAGCACAGAATCATGATTTTTTGATTGCTTTCCTTTGTTTACCATAGATTTATTTACAATTTTATCATTTACTTGAGCAGGACATTCAAAATGAACACAGTGAAAAACCTAATATGTTAAATTATAAACAAATTTTGATTTATTTGGTAACATTATTATATGTATTAAACATATAATAAATATGTTTTTACCTCATTTGCCGTATTGTGTGTCCCAACAATACGTATAAAAACAACAGGACGAGCAGGTTCAAAATGTATTGTTTGCCATGAACGACAAGCTTCTCTAGTTTTATCAGCAACTAGAACCCAACTCCAAGAATTACCAGATACCTCTATGTAATAAGAATATGAACGATCATCGCAATCCCACAGTAATAATCTATATTATATATATAAATACCATGAAATTTCATATTTTCTGAGTTATTATATAAAAAAAAAAAAATAATATATACCGTATAGAATCTATAATATATGGTTGTCCAAGTTGTACTAAAATAGAACCAGATCCAACTTGATGACATGTGTATCCACTATCCCAATCATAATTGGATGTATCACCATTTAATAATGCATTTCGAGATCTAAAATTAAAAATTTATGATAAAAAAATTATATTTTTATATATTATTTTATAAATTTATATATTTATATGTACAAACATACCTACAAACACCTTCTGTAACAGTTGCACTTTGATCCATAGTAGCAACATTTCGTGTTGGAATAACAAAACCATTATGAAGTTTTTCTGTATGATTTGTATAATATGCTTCAAAACTTACAAGGTGAAAAACCTTTAAAAATAAAAGTTGTAAAATATAGATGTAAAAAAAAAATTAAATACATTTTTAATAACGACTTTACTTTGTTTACAGTATTATTTGTTCCAACAATACGAATATAAAGAACTATTCTTGGTTCAAAGTATAAATATTGCCAACTGCGACAAAAATATTCTGTATAATCAATAACTCGAACCCAATTTTTTTGATCCATAGAAACCTATAGAAAAAATTATGATATAAAAAATTAATATAAAAATTATATTTTAATTCATATTCAATTTTTTTATTTAACTCACTTCTACATAGTAAGAATATGAACGCATGTCTTTATCCCAAAGTAACATTTTAATATGGTTGATGATGCATTGAGTTCCTAATTTAACTAAAATACCATGTTCTCGTGATTCAGTAATGGTATGTCTGGTATATCTGATAAAAAAATAACATTATTTAAGTGAATAATTGAATAAAAGTGAGTTAATAATTTACCCGCGTTCCATATCATAATTATTTGTATCTCCATCTAAAAGATAGCTTCGCATTTCACCCTGTAGAACTTGAGCACCATGCATAGGATGAGCAACATTCACATCGATAAGTAACCGACCACGATAATTAAGATCTGAATCACGTGTTTGTGTTCTTGCAGCTATTGCATCTAAGATTGCTTCTGGAGAAATTAATCCAGTTGGCCGAACAACATTTAAAAGATCCGTGATTGAAACTAAGTTTAATCGTACCTTATCTACAAAATTTGTCTAATCAATTGAATAGTATTATTATAAATGATATTTTTAAAATATATTTTTAATAAAATTCTTATTTTTAATACTTTTGTATTCACCTAAAACATTTTTGCCATCAGCATCAGGATTTGCATTCACCCATGCCCTTACAGCTAAAAAAATATCAATTTCTGGTGCATAAAAAGAATCTCTTGATACTAGTTCATTCAAAGCATCGGCACTTAATTGTAAAAAACTCTCATGCTGAATTACTTCACATGCATGTTCATCCATGTATTCATGACAAACCTAGATTACATAAATTTTATCTAGTATCATTATCAATTAGTTTTTTTTTTTATTAAACATCATATTAATACCTTAGTAAGAAATTCTAATCGATAAAGAAGTGCTGCACCAAATATGAGGCAGACATTTTTTATATTTAATATTTCTTTAAGATAATCTGATATGGACGTTTCTAATTCTGAAAATCCATAAAGATGTGCTAATCCAAGAATATCCAATACAACCTAAAAATATATATAATTGAGTGAATAATAATAATTAAAAATAAAAATTAATAAAAATTAATAATTATGAATTAATACCTCTTCACGTCGGTCTGTAAGAGACATTCGTCCTGTATATATGTATTCAAGTAAACCTTTAAATCCAGTTAAATTAGCATCTTTTAACTCAATTTCATGTTGTGTAGATTCTTTTAAACCACCAAATAAAAGAGCTCTAAAATATTGGCTACGTGCAGCTAAAATAATTTTGTGACTATTGAATCTTTGTCCACCAACAATTAAAGTCACATCTGAATAATCATCTGAAAGATAAAGAGCACCAATATCTTCAGAAAGTGTTTTAATATGATCTATATCACCAGAAATTGGATGTTCAATTGATATGTTCAATTCATGATGAGAACTCATTTTTTAAATTTTACATATAAAATTGCAATTTCTTTTCACGAAAATTGTCTTTTTATCTAAAAATTTGTTCTATCTGATAAATATTCCATCAATCAATCAATACTCCATCAAGCACCATTGATAACATAATACTTCAATACATTTGATTTTTCTGTTGTTATATATTTATTCATATTACTTAAAAAACAAAAATATATCAATTTTACAAAAAAACCGTTGGTAATAAAAATAAGGTTAACTTTTAATGATCAATTTCTAATTTTTAGTTTACATGCTTGAAATATACTATAATTTCGTATTCAAATTACGAATTTAATAATTTTTATATGAGCAAATTTACATAAACTTAAAAAAAATCTTAAGGAAATTACTATGACAGAAAAACAAAACCACATTTCCTCTTAGAAATACATTATTTTATGTTATGAATGTTGTACTATTTTTCACTATACATCGATCATAACATAAATATCATAAACTTACAAGTACTAAAGTTAGACAAATATATATAAAAGATATATGCATAATAAAGTTAGAAAAAAATATATTATTATTAAAATATAGTAATATAATATGCATATAAGTAATAAAAAATAAAAACTCGATATTATTAATGCTTTATTAAATAATAATATTTATAAATAAATTCTATAATTATTTTATTAATATATAAAATATTTTTTTAAAGAGATATGCAAATTTATCATAAAATTAAAAATACAAAACAATTATTAATATTCTAATTAATAAAATTAAATTAATTTTTATTATTTTTATTCATGTATATATATATATATTTATAATAATATAAATATTAATTTTTCATTCATTTTATTTTTAAAAATAACGTAAGATAGCGCATCTTTCAATAACACCTATTGTCATTGAAATCGTTATCAAATCTATATATTATATTTTCAATGGTGCAAACGAATTATAGAAAATTATTGAAAACTATTGTACCCGACCAAGTAATTATTGGTAGTCGATAGTATTTTCATCTACGTTTTCTAAGACACGAATGTAAAAAAGAAAAATAAATATAATTTCGAAAATATTTTTTTAAAAAAATTGCACCATGACAAAAGGTATACTTTTATTTTATTATAATTATGATATAAATATTATTGTTAGGTTAAGTAATTAAATTTTAAACATATCATCATTTATATATTATTTTTATATTAAAATAATTCTATTTTTTTTTGGCGATTTTTAAAAATTTATTTGACAGAGAATTTTAAATTTAAATTTATTGCCAATATTTTTAGTTTTTTCTCAAAATTGATAATTATTTAGATTTAAAATTTATGGAAAAAATGTGTAAAAATTAAAAAATAATGAAATATAATACATAATTTAAATGTTTATTAATGATATTATATATTTTGCAAAAAATATTTTTTTTTAATTAAAAATTTTATATAATTGATATAACTAATTTTTGAAATCCTTAAATATTTTCATTTTTTAATTATTTCTTAAATAATAATGATAGTAAATAGAATAAAATTAATATTAATAAAAATAATTTCAAAAATAATTTTTTAAAAAATTAATTTAAATAATTATAATAATTTCAAATAATAATCAAAATGACTAATAAATAATTAATATTAAATTTTAATAATCTTTCAGACGAAACACTAGAAAAAAAATCAGTAGAAAATAATGACACTGATAAAAAAACTGCATCTGAATCTGGCCCTGATCCATCAGCACCAATAACTAGGAGAGGAGTATTAACATCATTTTTGACTGGCAAACCAATGGAAATACCAGAACAAGATATTGTAAAAATTTAATTTATAACTTTTTATATAATTCTAAATATTTTTATTATAAAATGATAAGTAATATTATATTATTTTTTTTTATAGCTAGGTAAATGCAGATTTGTATCTGAATTTGAAAAATTAAATCGTATAGGAGAAGGTACTTATGGAATTGTTTATAGAGCAAGAGATACTAAAAATGACAAAGTTGTAGCATTAAAAAAAGTTCGAATGGAACATGAGAAAGATGGTCTTCCAGTCAGTGGTTTAAGAGAAATATCTGTTCTTTTATCTTGTCGTCATGAAAATATTGTACATTTAAGAGAAGTAGTAGTAGGAAGAAGTTTAGAAAGCATATTTCTTGCTATGGAATATTGTGAACAAGACTTAGCAAGTTTGTTAGACAATATGCAAGCTCCATTTTCAGAAAGTCAAGTAAAATGTATTGTTTTACAAGTACTAAAGGGTTTACGTTATTTGCATCATAATTTTATTGTACACAGAGATTTGAAAGTCTCAAATCTTCTAATGACAGATAAAGGATGTGTAAAAATTGCTGATTTTGGATTAGCTAGGTGGTTTGGTTTGCCTTTAAAGCCAATGACACCTAGAGTAGTAACATTATGGTATAGAGCACCAGAATTGTTATTACAAGCAAAAACTCAAACAACTTCTGTTGATATGTGGGCTGCAGGTTGCATTCTAGGTATAAACATTTTTTTATTTTTATACATATAAAATTAATTACATATTAAATTACATAAATACATATAAAATTATAATTCAATAATTTAACTTCCATTTTATGTTTTATTAGGAGAATTACTTGGACATCGGCCTTTATTGCCTGGAAGATCAGAAATTGCACAGTTAGAACTAATTGTTGATTTATTAGGAACACCAAGTGAAGCAATTTGGCCAGAATTTAATACACTTCCAGCATTACAAAACTTTACATTAAAACAACAACCATATAATAATTTAAAACAAAGGTTTCCATGGTTAAGTGCTGCTGGTTTGAGATTATTAAATTTTTTATTCATGTATGATCCAAAAAAAAGAGCAACTGCAGAAGAATGTTTACAAAGTAGTTATTTTAAGGAAGCTCCTTTGCGTAAGTACAATATATATATGTATATATATATATATAATAAATATATATATATATATAATTATTTTTAATATTATTATATTTTAATTTTCTTTATAGCATGTGATCCCAAACTGATGCCTACTTTTCCACAACATAGAAATATGAAAAAAGCTGCTCCACCAAAGGAAACTAGAGAACCAGAAACAACAGTTACAGATCAAACTAATAATTTACCTGCAATTTCAGATCTTGTAAGTTCTTTATATTTTGGTTGATATTATTAAAATGATATCAAACTGAAATTAATATGTTTTTCAGCTTGGTTCACTTGTCAAGAAAAGGCGAGTTGAATGAATTAAAAATTTTTTATTTATGATTTAAATGCAATCCAAAATTCAATGTCTTTTACTTATAAATATTTCATTGCGATGTATACCGTTCATTCACAATGTATGAATTCATTCACAAATAGATTAATAAATAAATGAATTTTATAAACGAATATTTAAAATATATAGTTAAAAAATATATGTATTTGTAAAAAAATGTATATATATTTACTTTATAAACATATAGATGCATATATTTACTTAATAACATATATAATATAACGAAACTATTTAATCAAACATATAAATGCAATAATATGAAGTTTTTAACGAATATTATAATTATCAATTTAAAATAACAAAATTATTATCAAGTGTCTATATTATCAAGTGTAAATTAGATTGCTTTATATATTATATTTTCATTACACAAATTTCCTCATAAATTTATTCTTTAGATTTTTATAGATTTAATTATTTTTTGCAAATTGCAATACATGTTCATAACGCTTTTTATATTCACCAGTAGAATCATATTTTGCGGAAAGTCGTTCCCAATCTTTTGGTCTCTTGCTTTTTAAATAATTTACAACTTTATTTGCTGTATGTTTCTGTTTTTCATTGCACTTATTGCAACCTGTAGATAGAGCATCAGGTAGTATTTCTAAAATAATACACAAATTAATTAATATTTAAATAATTATATTATAAAAATCTATAATTATTTTACGAGATTTTTTATCACAAAATAACATAACTGCATAATTTTAAATAATTAAATCATATATGATTA